GTTTATTCTATCCTATTAGAAAATATGTCGGGTGGTCGCACCCATTATATTTGCGCGACAACTAGAATATTGTCGTGTTGTATTTCAGAACATCAGTATTCTATCAGGGAAGGCAAGAATGAAACTGAGCTCGCTAGAATGGTGTTACAACACCAACATACCCCGTTGTGGGACGAGGTGGCCATAATAAGACATTGCAATAACAGAAATATTAATATAATAAATATAAATACAACTTTTTTTACCAAGAAAAATTCTTTGTTTCAGTCATTGATGTGAACAACAAAAAAATGACTGAAACAAAGAATTTTTCTTTGTAAAAAAAAGTTGTATTTATATTTATTATATTACTATTAAATTTGCCTTCATTGATAGAAATTGTTTTTAATATAAGTTGAAAGATAACACAAATTTATACTATATCATAAATTGTAAGTTGTATTGATAGATTTTTAACCAATTGCATAGCAGTTAAAAATATTTTGAATAGAATTCAAAAGTGTTGTATGATTTTATTGGTTTTAGAATGTGCTTGCTGATGGTTGAACTGAAAAGATTAGCAATTTATTTATTTTTAAATGTGTTGCCAAAATTTTAAAATATTTTGGTTTTAGTTTGTGATTTAATCCAATTTGTGTTTCATTGTGATAAAATACTATATTGAATGTGACATTAAATAGGAATTTCTTAAGAAATTGGACTGAAGAGGGGCAAAAAATGTGTGAAATGGACATTTTTATATGGAAGAGGACCTCTTGTTGAGTGTGCTTGTGGGAAAAAACTACTACAAACTTTCATCGAATATATAAAAAATAAAGTTTTTCTTTCAATTATAAGATTTCTTCATATCTATAAAACTATTCAAATTAAATTGTTACTGGATACCTTAGGTTATAAATTAAATTTAGATTGTACCTAGACTTTATATGGCTTTATTTAAAGTATAATTTAATTATTAATGAACAACATTCTGTAATAATCAATGCTTGACTATTGGTAATTTAGCTATTATGTTTTGCAGAAGATTTAGATTCTACATAAAAATAAAAGGCCAACATACATATTGCAAGCTTCAACTATCTATAGAAACACAAACAAACTAAAAAATAATCATTGACACAGAGTTTATTGCAATTCTAAGAGCTTATATATCTCTCTCTAAATGAGGATTTATGTTTGTTCATTTGTTACACACTACTAGGCCATTTGACCAATTGCTCTGAAGCTCAGCAGTTATGTTAACATACTTCAAACTTAGATAATGTTGATTTAAAAAAAATTTTTTAATTCAGGTTGTTACATCTAAGGACTGATATTTTTCTTTTTGAACAGTATTTTTGTAAAATTAATAATTGTGTATGTTTTAAATTTTTTTTATAAACCTGCTCAATGCCAGGTGTAACAAGAATAGTATAATATATGAGCTGCTCACTTGCCAAATTGATTAACTCCAAAAAACAAAAAGTAGAAAAATTGATAATATAAATTATTTTTAAAAATTCTTAAACTTTAAATTTAAATAAACATTGTAGAATGTACAGTGGTGTCTCATATAATGTACTTAATCCGTTCCAGATGCATGTCCATTAAGTCTGTTATATGAAACGCATTTTTCCATAGAAATACATGTTAAAACATATAATTCATTCCGCAGCATAAAATAACTGTATTGTACCATAAAAAAAAAAATGGAGCCGTTACCATTTATGCTGGGTAGTCAAATGTTGTGAGGAGGAAATGGAGGAACACTTTCTTTACACATTTATACAGATACAGACTTTTTACACATTGCAGCAAGCCTCTTTTTATTGTTTTTTAAACAGAGTCAGATTCAGGAGAGGCTACTGGAGCTTGCAGGGTTGTCTCCTCTTGTTCCTTTGTTTTTTGGCAGCTTGCTTCTTGAAAAACATGTCCAAGGTAGTCTGTTTCTCTCTTCTTCAATACCTGTCGGAAATGACGGGCAAGGGTGTTATTGTAGAGATCATTGATCCTGTTGGCCTCAGCTCTGTTTGGATAATGAGTGTTGACAAACTCCTGAACCTCTCCCTATTTGACAAGGAAGTTTTTGTCAACTTTCACTCCTAATGATGTCTTGCTTTGTTTCAATTGAAATCACCTTTCTGTTTTTTTAGACGCTATGATTTTCACAACACTTGAATAAATGTAAATACCCTGCACTGAGGTGATGTACGTAATAAACAGGGAGCAAGCCGAATTCCAACGGGAGTTCTGTACTTCAGATATAATAATATATTCTAATAATACTAATATACAGTGGGTGATCAGTTAACGAACATAATCCGTTCCAAGACTTTGTTCACTATCCGAGTTGTTCGTTAACCGATTATCGATTTACCATAGGTTTTAATGGGCATTTAATTAATTCGTTCTGGAGACTCCCAAAAATAAAAAATATATACTTTCTTACTACGTTTATTTATATGTAATAATAAAAATACATACATACACAGTCTTGCATTTTTATTAGTCATGTTTTTTCCGTTTGTAGGGGTTAAAGAATCTGTTTAATGTCGATTGCTTTTCTCTCTTCTTCAGGATTTTTCGTAAGTAATTAATAGCATTGCAATTGTAGAAATCCCCAAGCCTCAACCTGGTTAGGATGCCATTCTAAGACCGTTGTTCTGACATCCTCCCATTTCAAAGGATCTTTAATAACAAATATCGGCATTAATCCTCTTTTTCAGAAGAAAATATATCTCGCCGAGTTTTTTGGTGTTCTTCAAGAGTTCTTGGCGTTCTTCTGTCATCAGATCCATTTCAGGTTCCATTATGAACTCTTCGATGTCCTTTATTTCTCAGATGTGATATTTGTTACTCCTTTAGCCGCTTGAGTCTTCTTGATTATACAGTATTTTTCTTTGATAAGATTGAACTGTGGCCTACTGTAGACCTGTTCATGCCATACTGTGCAGCAACATTAGCCATCTTCTGCCCACTCTCTACCTTTGCTATTATACTCTCATTTTTTGAAAAGAAAAACAGACGCAAAACTTAACGAGTGCCTACCCAACAGTCTTGTGAATACATAAAAGAATTGTTTTTGTCAGAAAAATAAAAGGCTGGAATTACAAGAGAGAGTTTCAAAGTTTGGAGGAATACTATCCGATCAGTATATACCAGCTTGAGCATTGATGTCGACGTCTCCTATGCTCTGAAAAGTTTCGAATTGTTGCACGAAGAAGAGGGAAGACCAATTGGTATTCATTATTTTATGTCGCTTCTTCTTGTGTTTGTTCTGTGGGGTGTTCGTTGTCCGAACATAAAAATCTTGCATTGTTTTGTGGGGTGTTCGTTGTCCGAACATAAAAATGCGATAGTGTTCATTATCCGATCACCCACTGTATTATAAAAATAGCAGATTGTCATTGGCAACGGCAAAAGAGTGGAAACATCATTCGCACTTGTTCGCAGAAAGACTGTTGTTCGCCTCTTACAACTGCTGAACAGAAAGTTCGTTGTTTGCAGCAAGTCCGTTGCTCGAGTCACATAACGGCCAAACAGAAAGTCCGTTGTTCGCATTCGTTATTCGAGGTGTACATTATACGAGGCACCACTGTATTCTTATATACTGTTAAATTAAAGCATAGCTTTAATGTAACAATGTATGAAATTAGTTATGCGAAAAATGTAAAAATAATAACGATTATATCAAGGATTTACAAATGGAGTTAATCGATATGACCTGTGAATGGCTTATATATTAATTGCTCTTTTGATAATCATTTTTTATTTAATTTAAAATAAAATATGCAGTATGTTTTCAGGCATTGCTCCAGTTGATGGAATCAGATGTGATGATTCGATGCCGTCATCAAGACACAAGACTCGTGCAAGGATGTTTAGATTCAGCATTGAAAGAATACCAAAATGCCACAAAACAGAAGTGCAAAGTCGTCATTGATAAAGAAAACTTTTTACCATCAGACATGTAAGTATTCAGTAACCTGAAATTAATTTTATGTTCTCTTTAAAAATTTTGTCAATACATTTCAGATGTGGAGGAATTGATGCTTTCAGTGAAGGTGGTAAGATTAAAGTTAGTAATACTCTTGAAAGTCGATTGGAGATGATTAGTCAACAGGTATTTTATAACTTACTTTCAGTTCATTATAATTAACATTTTTAACACATACTAAAGACACTTTTTTTTTTTTAAAGCTGTTACCAGAGATTAGAGTTGCTCTGTTTGGTCGTAATCCTAATCGTAAATTTTCAGATTAATTTATTTAGTAAAATAATTAAAATTCTATTCCACTTACCATTGAATTTAACTGGAAGTAAAATTAAAATTATATTGTACTCCTGTTAAATTATTAAAGATATTATTGTATGAATTCAAGATTCAATATATGTATTTATATAGGAAATGTTAAATTTCATTGTTAATTAGCTTATTTCTATATTGTTGTGTAAATATGGTAAATATTTGACATTACATAGGTATATATGAAAAGTGTGGAAGCCTAATAAACAGAAATTCAATAAAATAATGATGGATAATACAAAATTATATGTAGGCATATAATAATTGATAGAATGCTCTCTCTTGTGTAATCAACTGTTATGAATTTCATTAGCTAAATCATTAAAATGTTTCATTAATTTTTAAATTGTGTGTTTTTTTAATCTGTAGAAATGATTATAAAACTTATAAAATAATATAAATTTATTGTGGATTTGTTATTGAAAAACTAAATACCTCATGGGTTCAAAAGAGAATTTTATGTAAAAGAAATTGAGAAATTTTAATTAGTACATAAAATATTTTTAAGCATTTTAAACTGTATACGATAGACTGACTTAGATTAACACATTTTATTATGCATGATTTGATAAATATTTTCACACATTAGTATATATTAGTAATATTTTCACACATCAAGGTTTTTAATTTCAAGCAACTTTTTTATATTCAATTTTACTATGATATATTATTTTGTTTCAAGTTCTCTGTTATTATGGGATTATTTTCATATACTGTTCCTTTTAAATGTCCCAAAAAGAAAGCCAATTCTTTTATCTCATTTCTAAGAGTATATGGCTTTTATAATCTCTAAAAACTTTTTAGAATATTTAGTTTCTTTTCATATGTGGATTGTTGTCATATTGCAACCAATAAAGTCTTTTATTACATTCTAAAAGTGAAATGAATTGTACAGTGATACTTGGATAGACATCTGTGATATCTGTAAAAAGTGGTTTAATCACGTGTCTTTTTTCCATTATTTTAGATATTGTTTATTATATTCTAATTGTTTTTTGATGTAGGCTACTTTAAGAAAAAACAATAGTGATTTTCATTATGTTATGTACTAAAGTTTTGAATATTGATGTAATAACTTGGTGAAATAAAATTTAATAATGATTGTTCAATGCTGGAAGAAGTCTATTAAAGAATTAAGCGTAACAAACTACAAACGAAGTCTGTACAGTATATAATGCTACCAACCAAGCATGTTTCACTACTACTATTGTGGTTCTTTATCAAATATATCTTGAGTTGTATTATTTTTACTTCATCCTGCATTTTGCTAATTATCTCTGCCTATATATTATAATTTGTCAAGAATAATTTTGAAGTTTGTTTAGATTTCTACAAATAATCATATTGATTAAAGAGAAAATAAAATACCATTAAATGTTTATTTTTATGTTGCTTGATATTTGATCTCTCAACATTTTGTTCTCCATAATATAATTTTCAATTTTGTTGTAAATAAAAGTAATAAGTGATTTATCTGAATTTGTAATGTTTTTAGAGTAATTTATATTGAAAATAATGCATTATATAATGTAATTCTGAATTGTTTCATTGTAACTAAACAAATTCTCTAGTTTCGTAGATTTATATTAATATATTTAGTTTTTTTTTTATTTAGTGCACACAATTTAGGATTCTGGCCATCACCGTTAATTTTTATTAATTCGTTCTAAGAAAATTTACAAAAAATGATAAAGTTCGCTTCTCGTACTCTCCATTAGTCAGAACCATTAACTTCAATTGCATCTTTTCACAATAATACAGTCAAACCTCTGTTGTCGAACATAATTCATTATCGTTTTTGGTGATTGGAATACAAGGAAGTTCGTTAAAGTTAGGCTTAACAGACGTCTCTGTTTGATGATGTCCCTGTGTCCCGGCCAGTTTTTCATGTTGTTCCAGTTATTTGGTAAAATTTTAAAGTGCCGAATATACAAGAAGTAAAAATAGTGCAGCCTCGGGTAAAATGGCGATTTGGCAACTGAAATATCCCCCTGTTACTCTCACTGTTGCCAATCTAAATATTTTTTATTTAGATCTAAGTACTTTTAATGTTGCCTAGATGTTTTCCACAGAATTTATAGCATTTGGCCTAATGAATTTAGCAGTGGCGTGCGTTGACATTTGATGATAGGGAAGTGCCGGCCTTGGATATAATCATTGAAAGCGTTATACAATATTTTGGTGTGTAGCATCCATTATCTAAACGGCGTGAGGTTGATGCTCTGTAAAGCGTATGCGCGAATTATATAATCTGGCTGCTTTATACGATTCAAATATTTTCGCCGTATTCGACAATACAGAGCTTCCGTTGGGAATATGCATATTCCAATTTACAATAACAATCTTATCATTTTTTCACATTTATAAAAATTTGTAATAAAATACATAATGCGGTTATAATAAAATATTAATTTTAAGTAATTCAAAGTACTGTAAAATATGAAAATAATCGCGCAATATGTATTTATATATAAAAAAATATAAGGAAAGTGCTTTCACAGCTTCCATGGACGGCACGCCACTGGAATTCAGATGTTTTATTTTTTCATTCAGATAATTTTTCACAGAATATATTATAATGTAGCCTATGAGATCCAGAGATTTTAGTTTCATTATTTAAATATTTTGTTTCAACCGAAGTTAACAACAATAAAAATTACACTGGCCACGTCATTGTTGCGCATGTCCTATCATAGACGAATTCAAATTGCTAGTCAGCGTTTGCGATTATTTTGTACTTTACATTAAATTAAATTAATCTCCAAAATGCCAAAAAATAACAGCCAAAAAAATAGTCTTTTTTTTTTTATTCATTAGTAAACACAGCTTATCTGTTTTTGAAAAAATCTTGTAATCATGTTGACAAAGTGAAATGTGAACTTTGCTTTTCAGAATTTTCAGTAACTCGTGGACATTCGGACATTAAAAATTACTTGAAATGTGCGAAACGAGACAAGACTAGTAGCAGCAGAAGGAACTTCAAATATATTTCAAATCAGAACGTCTTCAAGACCGAAAGCTCAATCCTCAATGCCTGTTTGGGAAGAAAGGTCACGTCCTGTGAAGAAGCACGTGGTCACAATCGGGAGTCAAATCCATTGTCGTCGACCGAGTGTCACGTTCGGGAGACAAGTCCGTGGTCATACCCGATTAAGATACGTCACGTCCGGGAAAAGGTGTTGAGTTCGGGTGAAAAGTGTCTAATCCGGTAAGAATGTTGCATCCGGGTGCAGAAGGACGAAAATCGAAGAGAATCGCCGCCTAGGCCAATGGAACATCAGCCACCCGCAGCAACAAAACCGAAGACACCACGGTCTCTCGAATTTGGCGGCTCTATTCTCCGATTCCTCCCCGTTTCGACTTCCGGAAGGACGAAGAGGCAGAACACGAGAAAACAGGAAGTGACGACTCGCTCGAGCTGTCACTTCCTATATCCTCCACAACAAGGTCTGTGGCCGGCCGATCCACGAAGACTGGCCAAGTGCATCGGACCCAGAGTGTAGCGTCTCAATATCCCAATTCCGAGACAGTACCACGCCACACGCACTTGGGGAAGGTCGTCACCCGCTGCTTCTTGCTGGATGGTCTCAAACGACACCAAACTAATCGATTGGCAAGAGATTTGGTCGAGTCCCCGTCTGAGAACGTCTCTTCGGGCGCGGTAAGATTCCGAGAGACTCGTTCTTCGCCGTCGGAGCCGCACGAGGAATCTCCTTCCTCCGGCGCCACCGCCTTCTTCCGTCGGAACCACTCCAACATCATCATTCTGTAAGAGCCTGTACACACTAGGCGTTTTTAAACGCGCGTTAGCTCGGCGTTTAGCACTGGCTCAGTTTGGAAATGGACGAGAAAGTAATTGATTGTGTGTGCTCTTCCATCGTCGCTATAAGGCAGCACATATATCTCAAAGCGCCCGCAAAACGCGCGTTGAAAAACGCCTAGTGTGTACAGGGTCTAAAAAAGAAAATTTGCAATTAGTCGAGTGAAAGCAAAAGCTTACATTAGAACTTAAACTCCTCCCGGAAAAGCAAAATGCTCACCGCAGCTCCCTTTTTAAATCTAAAAGATTCGAATCGACCATCGAACGATGGGCCGAGATGTCTTCTGGCAACGATTCTTCCGGGAATAATAGAGAGGTTGCGGCCGACGTTTTCAACGCGAAAACGTGTACGTCAGACGTTCAGCGCCGCCTTCCTGTAAGCCAAGACGTTTGACAATGGCTTTGGAACATCAGTGGAATCATGCTCGACGTTCCAAACGCATTGTCAAACTTCTAGGCTTACAGGAAGGCGGCGCTGAACGTCTGACGTACACGTTTTCACGTTGAAAACGTCGGCCGCAACCTCTCTATTAAATAAATTCTTACGTCTAGAATGAATATGGACTAGGACTCGCTTCAAAAATCTTTTGTCTTCTGTCGCAAACTCCAAAAACAGCACACAATTTGACAACACAAGAAAAGCACGTGGACGCCAACCAGAAACACAATCGAACTGCGAATCGTCGTGTGTGACGAATTATTATTTAATTAATTTGAAGCAAAATTAAAAAAATTATAATCATTTTCTTGTGTTCGAAATTTGATAGATAAATTATCTTCTGCATTTACATGGTGCAGAATTCCCACAGTGGAGAGATAAAAGACAATCTTCTTAAATTCTACGTCTCGAGGTTTGACCATCTCCGAAAATTGCACGAAATTCGTTTGAATAAGTCGATAAATATCAAATTCTTAATCAACCGGACTTGACTTTCCATCCTAATTTACGGACGGATACTTGGACAACATATGAGATTCGTTCTTCCACTTCGGTTAAAGTGCATAGAACATCTACTGTGGCAAAGCTACACAAGCGGTGTTTAAACGACTATAACTGGCCAAAACAACTTATAATATTTCTAGCGGTGTTTTACTAGTAAAACATTTCAACACAGAACAATGGGAGGAACCATTTCCACGTTGAACTTTAACATTGCAGTGAATATATGTCTAAAGCAAAACTATAAATTACTTCAACAGTTAAAATTTTACATGCAATTTTCGCCATCGTATATAAATTCTTATACTTAATAAGACTTATTGAATTTAATACTAACTGTTTAAAGATTCGATATTTATTGAAGTTACGCAATTTTAGATTAATTTATAATTAATAAGAATGTTTCTAACAGTTATGAAGGATGACGAAAAAAGAAAAAATGCACACGATTCATAATGAATGAAAAAAATTCAAATATTAGGCCTAAATCAAATTTTAAAAGTATTCTCCGTTTTATATGGGGTTCTACTGTATTTTTATGTAAAATTTCTCTATAAAAGTTGTACTAAGATTAATGGTGACGATCAAACATAAATGTAACAAATTTACCTTCGAAATTCTTCTATTGACTCTTTTAAGACCAAATAATGTTATAGAAGCAATGATAAACAGTCATAAATAACTCGTAGAAAGGCCGTGAAAACATTAATATTTTTAATTAATTTAACTTAATATAGGTATATACAGTACTGTTTATATATTAAGTTAAATTAATTAAAAATATGATTAAAAAATTGCAGCCCGGCATCGTGACGATGTTACAATAAAATAATCACTCGTTTGGATATTGTTTTTTGAGTAATTTGGCCAATGTTTTCACTGCCTTTCTACGAGTTATTTATGACTGTTTATCATTGCTTCTATAACATTATTTGGTCTTTAAAAGAGTCAGTAGAAGAATTTCGAAGGTAAATTTGTTATACAGTATTTATGTTTGATCGTCACCATTAATTTTAGTACAACTTTTATAGAGAAATTTTACATAAAAATATTCGGGTACCCAGCGATATCTTTCTTTAAAAAGGGCTCGTAGTGTGACATTTTAAAAAAGGGTAAGGTCCACCACACTTTATAAAGTCCTGTGTTTAATGCCCAACTTTGTACAAAGTTTTAAAATGAATGTACTTTTAAAGAACTCTCGATATATAAAATATTTTATTTAGATCTATATAATTGCCAATACTATCCATCTGTATTTACGGATAATTACTGAAGATGCTAACATAATATTATACATTGTTGTTCATTATATTCGAGTGTTTCGATAATAACAAACGTAGAATTTATACATTAGGACCGAAACATACGCATAATCCATTTACAACTCCACACTTATTCCCTTTTTGGCCATTAGCTTTGCAAAATACTCGACAGTCTTGTGGAGTAAGTGGACAATAACTTGCTTCTATCATCGGAACTTCTACTCACATAAATATATAATAAGTTAATAATAATAATAATAATGTTTCAGAAAAGTTTTTGTTTTTTATATAATTAAAATACAACTAAAATATAAAAATAATAATACAAACTTAAACATGCCAATGAATATTATTTTCTTACCTAAAGTGCAAAATACAAAAGCTAACAAAAAAAGTACAGCAATGGCTTTCATGATTGAGCGATAAAAGTCACCTTGTTCTACCGATCTGTAAAGAA